TCCACAAGATGATATAGTACATGGAAATTTGACAGTGGAGGAGAATCTTTGGTTTAGTGCTCGGTGCAGGTATGCTACAATGGATATGTTACTACTCTTCCTATAGCTTAGCTATTGCTGACTAATATCTTCCAAGTTGCCGTAATTTCTGAACTTAAAGTTGTCCTCGATTTCAAGTAGAATAGTCAATCTTTAACTTCTCTCTAAGTTTGGTTTAGAGGTTGAGTTTGTCGTCCACATGTTCTGACAAATATGTTTGCAAGTTACCGAGGTTCAATTCTTTCTATGTGCATTTTTCTTCGTAAGTTTCTTTCTACCATGAGTCTGCTACTTCAGAGGCTATAGACTCCAGTAATTTGTTGTTTTCAAAAGTTATGCTTCCTTTGTCCTAATTATTGGATTGCTATATGATACTTATGGTCATTTTAGAAGCAACTCTCAGATACTTGTTAACTCAATGTTTCGCAATGGATTAATGAAAATATGCATTTCGAAGGTCTGAAACCAATGCATATCATTGTATTTGAAAAAATATGAGGACAACAAAAAAACTTAGGACCTTGTTTTATTACTCCTATCAGGAAAAAAGTTAGCCTTGCTTCTTGTTTCTGTTTGTTACAGTTAGAATTCTAGTTTGCCACTACTAGCTTCGCAATTGATTCTTATCTACTCGTCAATGTTGAATTGTTCTTCCAGATTGGCTGCTGATTTGCCAAAACCAGAAAAAGTTTTAGTTGTTGAAAGAGTCATAGAGTCCCTGGGATTGCAACAGGTGAGAGATTCTCTTGTGGGGACAGTGGAGAAGCGAGGCATCTCTGGGGGTCAGAGGAAGCGAGTAAATGTTGGGCTCGAGATGGTTATAGAACCTTCTTTGTTAATTTTAGATGAACCAACTTCTGGTCTGGATAGCTCTTCTTCTCAGTTATTGCTTAGAGCACTTCGTCGTGAAGCTCTTGAAGGAGTGAATATATGCATGGTGGTTCACCAACCAAGGTAATGTTTGCAGTCATACTTTTCTTCTTTTCGGTCTTCCAATCAAAATGCTCATTGTACTATATATTGGAATATCTTCCAATATAACAACCGAAATACTTGCTCTGGAAACATGAGGCACGGTCATGAATAGTTTCCAGCAGTCATACCAAAAAGAATTTTGCTCTCCGTTCCTACATTGTGGAACAACATTCTGACTTTGGGTCTCATCTTAAAGCACTTCTTTAAGAGAATAACATATCTATTACTAGATTTCCTCACAAAGTCATTCCTTAATTGCACATTCATATATAAAATCTTCGCTGCTTTTTGTTTGCAGAAGTAATTTCGTAACAGATAGTTTGTTAATTGCTGATTGCCGTAATTGATTTATTAGATTAATAGTCCTGTTCTGTATCTAATTGTAAACGTGTTAGCCAAAGTTGTATTCTCCTCACACTAAGTGACAGAAAATCTCTTGTTTCAGCTATACTTTGTTCAGGATGTTTGACGATTTGATACTTCTAGCGAAAGGTGGCCTTACAGCATACCATGGACCAGTATCCAAAGTTGAAGAGTACTTTGCAGGAATTGGAATCAATGTCCCAGATCGTGTTAATCCTCCAGATCACTTCATTGATATTTTAGAGGGAATTTATAAACTCCCGGCAAGTATAGGAGTAACCTATAAAGATCTTCCTCTTAGATGGATGCTTCATAATGGTTACCCAGTACCACCAGACATGCTAGCTTCTTCGGGATCAGCAGCTTCTTTGGCTGGGGATAATTCAGCACATGGAGGAAGTTCTGCAGCGGCTGGTCCTGATCTATCTTTTGCAGGAGAGCTGTGGTCGGATGTCAAATCCAATGTTGAACAGAAGAAGGACCATATACAGCACAAACTTTTGGCCTCAGCGGACTTGTCGAATCGGAAAACACCTGGTGTCCTCCTCCAATATAGGTATTTCCTTGGAAGGTATGACTAGCTCCCTTTATTTCTAATATTATGGAGTACTCTTTTTATTTGTTTGTTAAGATATGCTAGCAAGTCACTTATTTTGCTCTTCAATTCCTGTGTTCGAATATTTTGAATTTGTCCAATGTGCTTTCCAATAGTTAGGCTATAGATATTTATATAGCAGCTAAGACAAGCAGTTTTATGAATATTATGTGAGGTATTTAGTCACAGTTTATGAGGAAAATATGTGCACAGTATGTTTTTTGCTTTATGAATATTTCAATTTTGTCTGTGATATTCGATGAATGGCATCTACTAACAATTTGATTCTGCATATTAGTCAGACTCGGCAAGCAGCGACTACGAGAAGCGAAGATGCAGGCAGTTGATTTTCTTATACTATTACTTGCTGGGATCTGTTTAGGAACACTTGCTAAAGTGAGTGATGAAAGCTTCGGAGCACAGGGTTACCTTTATACAGTCATTGCAGTTTGTAAGTTAAAACTTTGAGACAGCAGATATATATACACTTGCCTTATTTTGCTTCAGCATGTACAATTGGTCAAATGACATTTAACTTTGAAGTTTAAGACAGGTAAGCTTTTATTTCCAAAATTTTGAGAGGGAAATGTTAAAGAGGAACTTTATAAGTTTTATAACGGTGCATCAAATTTTGAGTTCTGCTTGAGAAATTTGCAAAACACAGATCATGATTTCTCTTAGCAGTTTATCTCTAACTCATCACTAATAACTCCATTTTTTCTTTCATTCTAACAATTTGAAACAGTTTTTGCAAATAAAATATATGCTGCTCTTGGAGATTAGCATACTGTGTAAATTATTATATCAAGCTGGAAACTTCTTTTCTAGTTGAGTAAAGTAGTTCTTTGCTATTATTTGAACTTCATTACTAGTCACATGACTCCCATCATTATCACTAACAGAGAGAAAGCATCCTGAATCTCAGAAAAGGTAAGATATGACAGAAACTGAGATAGTGTAATAGTAGAAGTGCAAAAGTTAGAGAAGAAAAGCAGAAGCTTCCAAGCAGTGAGCAAATATAGCATCTTCTTCACACTATAATGAATTCTAAAGTCGGATACTGTATTAAGATTAAGAACTTGGATTAATGATTAATCATGGTATCTGTTTCTCTGGAAGTATGTCTTGTCTACATGGTAGAAAACCGTGAAACTTCAAAAAGATAATTGTATGTTAGTTTGTTTTGCTTGATGTTTCCCCATTCTTTATGAAAAGTTTTTAACTGGCAATCCTGAAATTAGCCTTTTTCATTTGTGCTAAAACATTGTTCGGGTCTAATTAACATAATGTTTATTCCTGACTTCCAGCACTCCTCGGCAAGATTGCAGCATTGAGGTCATTTGCTCTAGAAAAAGTATACTACTGGAGAGAGAGTGCATCCGGCATGAGCAGCTTGGCTTACTTTATGGCCAAGGATACACTTGACCATTTCAATACAATTGTAAAGCCTGCAGTTTATCTATCAATGTTCTATTTCTTCAATAATCCAAGATCCACTATTTGGGATAATTACCTTGTCTTGCTTTGTCTCGTATACTGCGTTACGGGAATAGCTTATGCTTTGGCTATCTACTTTGAACCTGGTCCAGCCCAACTGGTGGGTGTTTTGAACTTTAATAGTGATATAATATGTGAAGTCTTTACTGTGATTCTATACTTACAAACTAATTTTGTCTGTCAGTGGTCAGTTTTGTTACCAGTCGTTTTGACTCTCATTGCAAACCAAGACGGCGACCCACTTATGGCAGAAATAGGAAATTTTTGCTTTCCTAAATGGGCTTTAGAAGCATTTTTGCTTGCAACAGCTAGAAGGTCCGGTGCATCCTATCTCTCTTTGTATCGAATAATATGTCAAGGAATGGTTTATTTCTTTAATGCTTTAAAACTATCTTGCCACGGCATCATCAATTCCTGCTAGGTTTACAATTAGCTTGGAATTAACCATCAGGCATTCAGAATCAATTTTATATCTGATATTTGGCACTAAAAATGTTTCTTCAACTCACTCAAGTGTAAAGTTCCTATTCTTCTTATATTCTGCTTCCAGGTACTCTGGTGTATGGCTGATCTCAAGATGTGGTTTACTAAAGTCAAGGAACTATGATCTTGGTCACTGGTATCCTTGCTTGCTATACCTCATCCTCGTCGGCTTTCTCAGCCGTTGTTTAGCATTCTTTTGTTTGGTGACTTTCCAGAAAAAATAAGTCTTCTTGCTCTCTTGCTTCATTGCTTGGCATTCTAGCACAAACATGGAAAAATGCAGGTTTGCAGACTGACTAACAAAATGCCACAATGTAATGTAAGTGCAGTAAAAATGGTCTGTGGCAACTGAAGTCAACAATTTTGGCAGAATGTAAATGTACATATGAGCGAATTTTAGTTTCTCTGGAAGTGTTACCTTGCTTCCTGAATCTTGTAATTAGCTATGACCCTTCAACAGAAATGGCAGATGCCGTCTTTAAAAGAATATACTGCTGGTAGTGGCAGCTATTTCTGGAGCCAACAGTAAATGAATTCCAATCTTTCGCCTCTCATTAGGTTCAATAAAATGCTTGTGAAACTAATAAGAAAATGTGAGCGAGTTTAATTGAAGAAAATGGAAAGGTATTATACTTTTATGGACGGGTGCATCAAATGTCTCTGTTTTACTTTTACATGGTCAAATAAATTCAGAAAACCTCCTTTCATTTTATTATTACAGACATGACATGTCTAAGGAATATTGTGTTATACTACGTTATCCTGAATTCCAGGCCCCACTCGTGGTCGTGGTTTTTGGGAAGTTCTTTGTTTTGCTCATTAGAAGACTGTATGAAATGGGGGTAAAATTAAAGGGAGTGGGTGGGGGTGGGGGGTGGGGTTGATGAAACACCACATGAAATGGATTCTATATGTAATTGCATGGAAAATCGAAGGAAACTTAAGGGAATGATGGAGTACCCACTGCCCACTTATTGCTGTTCTTTTCATACCTAAACCTGTTTCCCATTGCCACCGCATGAAGTGTGGAAATAAATATAAAATGCCGTCTAACAAAAAGTTAAACTTTATAACATTGAGTATTACTTGACTAAAAACATGAACCATTCAAGTGAACAAAATTCCACTTTAGTGGTCCAAATCATAATATATAACAAGAAGAGTAACCGTAAAACATACTACTTAATTTAGGCAACTATAATATTTATCAAATACTTCCACAACTAATAAAGAGGTTAATCAATATTAAGTTCTTTAATTGAATATTTAAGAAACCAATGGTTAACTCTCTTCCTTAATCCTTTGCCTCCTGTGATGCTTCCCCCGATTCAGCTTAGCAGATAAACCAACTGCAAAATAGTGCAGAAAATTAGCTATCAGGTACAGGTCAGTATTGTTACTCCAATAACTCATTCGCTGCTGAATCACCACTAATAAAATCAGTTATAACCTTATTATCTTCAATCATATTTGTCTTTTCCCAAAAAAAAAAAGAAGATTCAGTAATAACAGTTACACGTTCCAGTGGCATATTGAGTTTTCACCCTCTCACTACCAAATACTGTGTCTCAAGATAAAGTTCAGATATATCTTCCCCATCTTCTCCCAAAATTCATCACCTATTTAGTAATTTTCCTGGGTTATCCTCAGAAGAAACCTATCCACAATTAAATCATCTCATAATACCGATGTCCACAAGTACATCTCATCTCATAATACTGATATCCACAAGTACATCATCTCAAAATATCGATATCCACAAAAACGTTTGAGCAACTGAAGCTAACGAAACGACAACAAACAGCACTAAGAGTCATTTTTTAAATTGACCCATCCCTCCCCCACACAAAGAAACAAAGCAATAAAAAAAAGAGGAGAGGAAATTGTATACCTCATATCAGATTTTTTTTTTTCTGCAAAGACGGGCAATATTCTCCTCATGTGGTCCTTTATATGCATGGATTTGAAAAGTTTCTAGAGGTGTACGCATAGTCAGATTGATAACTTTAATAGTTATAAAAAATTCACGACATTCGGCAAAAATGAAATTAACTTTTTCAATACTCAAAACATTGTACTTGTGAACCTGCAAAGCATATAGAAAAGACCGTAAAGTCATTAAGGCTGAGGGATACTATTCACCCAAAGCAAATATGAATAGAGGCATGCATACACATACACTGGTTTTCCTATTGTTTTACTCCTGAATAGCATGGTTAGCCAGTTCCATCAGCATGTCAGCTTCTTTCTCAAAATCCAGATATGGTATATATACAGCTGCCTTAGCATCACCCGGATAGACGTCAATGTCGAAACCCTATAAATAAGTCATGAATTTTATATCCAAAAAAAGAGGGTCTAATTGAATTGCACAGACTTTAGTTACAGAGAGATAAGTTAAATCGAGTCGGAAGTCAATTCAATCAGGTAAATAAAGTCGATTACATGGAGCAAAAATTATCTTTCAGTATTTGATCTATTAGCTTAAAGAGAAGCAGGGGCTAATCAAGGAAGAAGAATCACTTTAACACTAACGGCTAAAAGCACCACCAAAACAGCCATGACCTCCAACATTTATTTTAAACACGTAAACAAGACAATAGTGGGTTTGTCTGCGAACACACTACCCTCCCAAGACCCCACTTGTGGGATTATACTGAGTTTGTTGTTATTGTAAACAAGACAATGGTGACTTGTAAGTAAGCTCCATAATCTTTTTTGCCACAGTTAAGCCACTAATTGAATTGCACAGATCTGTCCAGACAATATTTATCTCTTATTGATAGTCTAAGTTGGCACATCTGTAATGCTTAGATAAGAGAGGGTGGTCAGGGAAGGCCTTGCTAGATTTGGGAAGAGAAGTGAGAGCTAAGAGCAAATAGAGAACAAGTGTCAAAGTTTTAACTATTGGGATTTTTGCGCTCGTGAGAGTTTCACATGTTACAACTAACAATAACCAAGAGATAAGAGCGAAAAATAGGAGAGCGATACGTAAAATACAGGGACTTACCATGTGATCATCCTAAAAAGAAAAAAAGAGATATATACAAGAATTGGATGGTGAAGAGTTGAAGTATAAGAAAACACCTTCCAATGTTAAGAAAACTCCACGTAAACAGGGTAAACAGCTAGGAGTAATATGAAATTCTACTGCCTAAAAATAAACTCCAAATATTAAGAATACCCTCAGCTAACGAAACTGGCAAAACTTTTCTTATTGGTGCTCCCATTAATCTTGGAATTGTTGAATTGGATTACAAATTACTTAGAAATTTGACTAGCTTCTTTTTTCTAAGACTGACTGAAAAAACCATTCCTCAAAAGGGCACAATCAAAACAAAATTACTTTTTAATCGCTGCAATCAAAGGCTTGCAAATTAGCAACCAGTTTGCCTGCACATCAACTATTTCACAAATAAACACCAATTTATGAAGCCAAATTAAAGGCTGCGTTGTGTGTATAAATACATATACTGATATAGTATAAAATTAGAACAAAAGATAAAAGGGAAGTAGTAAAGAAAGAAGACAAACATCGGTTTGACAAATCTGGCGGAAGTATCTCGTATAAATTTTGCGAAATACATCGCGGTGCTCCTTTGAAGCGGCTTTGGGGATAAAATCGTCGTCATTCCATAGATTTTCATCGGCTATGTACCTGCGGGGCAGTTCCTTCTTCCACTCACCAGAATTTGGCTTCGATTCAGTGTCGGCCATTTCGATCAAACTATCAACCAACTTAATATGCTTTTCTCTATATATACTTTTTGGGGACCCTGCTCGTTGGGCCACAACATTTTCTTTCCCTTTCCGAATACAATATAGTTCCCTTTTCTTTTTTATTCCGATTTTCTGGGTAATTTTTTATATTAATAATTTTGTTTGTGGTGACTCAACTTTGTTTCAATTTTACAAAAGTCACTCAACTTTCGTTTATAACTTAAGAGTCATTCAACTTTGGCTACATCACTTAAAAGTTACACCTGATGAAATATGTATATATCGTCACCGGAAAAATGACATGGCAAACTTTTAGTTATTTTTTATGCCACGTGAGCAACCACATAGGATATACCATATGGTATATTTGTGTCTTTCTTTTGTTTAAGCTGTCGGCTTAGGCTGCTTGTATTTGTGGATATTTCTTATTAAAATATTGCTAGAATGACATGAATTTAAAAGAACTTTCTTATGACTTGCATTTGTAATCCATGTGATTAATAGGTTGTTTGGCCAAACTTCTCTAAACTTGTATTTTTATTTTTAAAAAAATGCTTTTCCCCCCAAAATTTAAGTGTTTGACCAAGCTTTTAGAAGAAAAAAAATATTTTTAAGGAGAAGCAGGAAAAAGTAGCTTCTTCCCCAAAAATACTTTTTGAAAAGTAATTTTGAGAAAAAAATACACATAAAAGTACTTTTTAAAAGCTTGACTAAACAGTAATTGCTGCTCAAAAGTGCTTTTCAAATTAATTAGCCAACCACAAACTACTCTCATCAAAAGTACTTTTGAGAAAAACAGATTTAAGAAAAAACACTTCTCAAAATAAATTGGTTTTAGTAGTTTGGCCAAACATGCTATAATTCATGTACAACTATCTAGTACGTTTAAAGGAAAAAAATTATGGTTACGACTTTTCACATCCAAGCAAGAACCGGTACAACATGTATTAAATTATCTAATTCGTTGTTAAAATCCTATGTGGTTGCTCACGTGGCATAAAAAATAACTAAAAGTTTGCCATGTCATTTTTTCGGTGATGATATATCCATATTCCATCAGATGTGACTTTTAAGTGATGCGGTCAAAGTTGAATGACTTTTAAGTTATAAACGGAAATCGAGTGACTTTTGTGAAATTGAAACAAAGTTGAGTGATCACAAGCGAAATTAACCCCTGATTTTCTATATATTCGTGTATGATTAAGTTTTACTCTTTTAAAATAAACTTTATGTTTTAAAATTACCATTAATTACTTTCTTAATTTTTAAAAATTTAAAATTAACTAAAATATTGGTTATTAAATATTTTCTTATTTTAAATTATGTAAAAACTCCTAATATTTAGAAATTTAAATTCAAGTAAGATTTTCCTAATTTGTTAATGTAATGTAACCGGAAATTTATAGATTACAATTGTGAATATTTGTTACTAGTTTTTTGTTCTGGTTCCAAGTAAAATATAAAGATTGGGGTAATTTTGGTTTCCAAATACAAACTCATTTTAAATGCAAGAAATTGAGCATAAAAATATGTTTGACTATTTATCTTTTTTTGGCTCCCTTTTATTTTATTCGCTAGATGACTTTCCAGTAAACCCGTCAAAAGGACCGGGTCAACCCATGTCCGGCGGACCAGCCCGGTAAAACCCCGAGCGAAACAGCCTGATTGAGCTCAACTTCCCAAATTCCCATTCCAAAATCGATGCCCTGAATACCCAACAAAGAGACAATTCATGACTATCTTAAATCATATGCCAAACACTTTTGACATTAACCCACACTTCAATGAAACCGTGTGCAAAAAACTTGTCTATAGAGGGTAAAAACTGTTTCACCCTATGGCTCAGAAGTTGAATATATATGTCAGTGGCTTGATCAAAGATACTAATATCATGGCCAATCTTCTCCAAAGGGCAAAAGGGTTTTTTTTCCCGAAAACACCTTTTTTTCCTTTCAATTTAAGGTGTTTGGTCAAGTTTTTTTTGAGGGAAAAAATACTTTTGGGAAGAAGCAGAAACAGTTTCTGAGAAGCAGAAAAAAGTAATTTTTTCTCAAAAAGCAGAAACAGAAGCAGTTTTGACTTTTCTTCTTACCAAAAATACCCTTAACAAAATATAATATATACCAAAATAACCGTTAAATCTAATACTTAGGATATTAATATATAAGTATTTCTTCTTATTTTTAGGATAGTTTTCTAATATATAGTGATTTTAGGGGTGAATACTTTTATATTTGTTGAATGATTTTTAATATATTTGAATAATATTACAAGAATTAAAGTACTTTTTAATTTTATTTTCATATTTTACTTAAATAAAATGAAAAGATTTAATTATTGCTTGTAATAATAAATTTTTAAGATTATTTATTTACTTATAATATTAACTATTAAGTAAATCTATTCATGTCATTATTCGTAATTTGATACTTAAAAGCACTTTTTGAAAAACTTGGCCAAACAAAAATTATTGCTCAAAAGTACTTTTTAGAGTGATTAGCCAAACACAGAGTGTTTCTCTCCAAAAGTAATTTTTTCAAAAGCACTTTTGAAAAAAGCATTGGACCAAGATATGTTTTTATTATATGGTCAATATCGATCTACTGTAGTAGATCATATGGATGTATCAAAATAAGCTGATTTTTCCTGTTTGGCCAAACAGGCTATAAATCCTTTTCTAATGCAATCCTTTTTGGGGTGGATGCAGGGGCGTCCATAAAGCAAGTAAAGCAACTGCTTTATACCCCACATTTATGGAGGCTCCATTTTTTATTATACCGAATAGGTTATGTATAAGTTAAAAAAAAGATTTTGTGAAGTGAAAAGTTTGATTTCTTTCTTTAACAAGTATAGAGAATAAGTATTAGCAAAAAAAAAAGTATAGAGAATTGCACTTGCTATGATGATTGCACTTGCTAACAAGTATAGAGAATTGCACTTGCTATGATGATAGCAAAAAAAAAGTATTTGCAACTGTTATGATTTCTGCAATGAAAATTACACTTGAAATAAATATCGAACCCGAATTTCATAAGAAACGTATGATATATAGGAAGTAACAATTTGATGAGAATGTTGATAATAAAATCTCAAAATCTTTCGAAGAGTCCTTTAGAGTTTACTTTATACATAGTAGACAAGGCTATTTTTTTCACTTCAAAATAGATTTGAACAATTCGAAGCATATGAAAATATTTTTATTTTCTATTTAGCGGTAAAATTTAAGATCACTAGATGATGGAAAGTTGAAAAAATATTGCATTAATCTTGAATGTTCCTTAAAGCATAATAATCAATCCGATATTGATGGTTTAGATTTATTTTCAGAATTAAAAATATTAAAAAAAATAGTACAATTAGAAAATAATAATTTAATTGATACATTCGGTCAAATAAAAAGATTTGATTCTTTTCCAATGCCTATATTACTTATGAAATAATATTAATAATTCTTGTTACCGTCGCTTCAGCTGAAAGAAATTTTCAAAATTAAAATTGATAAAATCTTACCCAAGATCAACAATGTCTCAAGAAAGGTTAAATGGATTAGCTATATTGTCAATTAAGAAAGACTTATTAAGAGTTATTGATTATAAAAAATTATTAATAACTTTGTATCTAAGAAATGCTAGAAAAATAGATTTCAAATAAATAAATATTTTTTTTAAAAAAAGTAAGGCCCCTCGTAAAGTTTGACTTTAGACCATAGAGCTCATCGGGCCGCCCCTGGTGGATGACAGGTTAATAGCATGTTTGGCCAAACTTCTAAAATTAATTTATTTTGAAAAATATTTTTCTCAAAATTGTTTTCGGTAAGAAGTAATTCGTATTTGACTACTTAATTTGAAAAATACATTTGAGTAGCAATTAATTTTGGCCAAACTTTTAAAAAGTACCTCTAAGCGTATTTTTTTAAAAATACTTATCAAAAGTGCTTTTGAAGACTAACTATACCTTTCTCTGATTCTCAAAAATAATTTATGTTTTTATTAAAAAATACTTTTTCCTTCTAAAATCTTGGTCAAAAGAAATACTTTTGGTAAAAAAAGTCATGTTTTTATGTTATGATCATTGTTAGAAGAAGTATACTGCTGATAAAATCAATTCAGAAAAACCTCCTTTCATTTTGCTATTACCGACTCTGACCACTCATGGGGTTTGGGAAGTTCTTTTTTGGAGTTAATTGTTTTCTTTTTTGACTAGGTGAGTTCTTTGTCAGTAATTTTTGTACTACGGCGATATCTGTAAAAGTTCATTTAGAATGTCACAGCTGTTAGGATATACTATAAATCATGCTTATAGTTATAGTATTTTTTTATGGAATAATTATTTATTTATTTATTTAATTCAATAAAATTTTATTTTAAATAAATCTTGTATTTGTTTGTGTGTTCTTTGTTTATATAGTAGATGATTTAGTATATAGAGTTTAATTTATATATGGAAGATTAAATCATCTGTTCTTATCCGACAGTTTATGTTCACAATCTAATAATAGAATTGGACAAACCATCAAAATGATTATAGCACAAGATTAAATATAATTTATCTTGTTTATGGGAATGGTTTAATTCCGACTTCTTGTGCTAGTATATTAGTTGTGTGTGTCATTTATTGTTTGATTTATTAAAAGACGAGATTCTTTCGTGGGTCAATAAGCCTGATAAATTGGACAATAATGATATACATTGGCGAAATAATAATTAATTGATAGAATCCATGTCTCGGCTTTTGATATTGATGATAATACTTTATGAAAGC